AATAGAATAGAATAGAATAGAATAGAATAGAATAGAATAGAATAGAACAGTTCTTTATTGGCCATATTGGGCACACACAAAATTTGTTTCCAGTGCATAAGCTCTCAATATACATACCAACAACAAAGTGATAAATCACAAATCATCAGCTACAATTATAAATAATAAGATACAATGAACAAAGTGATAGTCATAAGATGCCAATAGGAGTATGTAATAGTCCTACTACAAGGTTAGATATTAACACACTGATGGAAGACCTGAAAGGCCACTTGGTGATTTTAAAAAGTCTACCTACAGGTGAAACTCGAAAAATTAGAATATCGTGCAAAAGTTCATTTATTTCAGTAATGCTTAACTTAAAGATGAACCTAACTTAAAAGGTGAACGTAATATATGAGATAGACTCATTACATGCAAAGCAAGATAGTTCAAGCCGTGATGTGTCATAATTCAGATGATTATGGCTTACAGCTCATGAAAACCCCAAATCCAGAATCTCAGAAAAGTAGAATATTGTGAAAAGGTTCAATATTCTAGGCTCAAAGTGTCCCACTCTAATCAGCTAATTAAGCCATAACACCTGCAAAGGGTTCCTGAGCCTTTAAATGGTCTCTCAGTCTGGTTCAGTAAGAATCACAATCATGGGAAAGACCGCTGACCTGACAGTTGTGCAGCAAACCATCATTGACACCTTCCATAAGGAGGGAAAGCCTCAAAAGGTAATTGCAAAAGAAGTTGGATGTTCCCAAAATGCTGTATCAAAGCACATTAAGAGAAAGTTATGTGGAAGGGAAAAGTGTGGAAGAAAAAGGTGCACAAGCAGCAGGGATGACCGCAGCCTGGAGAGGATTGTCAGGAAAAGGCTATTCAAAAGTGTTGGGGACTTTCACAAGGAGTGGACTGAGGCTGGAGTCAATGCATCAAGAGCCACCACAGACAGACAGATCCTGGACATGGGCTTCAAATGTCATATTCCTCTTGTCAAGCTGCTCCTAAACAACAAACAATGTCAGAAGCGTCTTACTTGGGCTAAAGAAAAACAGAACTGGTCTGTTGCTCAGTGGTCCAAAGTCCTCTTTTCTGATGAGAGCAACTTTTGCATCTCATTTGGAAACCAAGGACCCAGAGTCTGAAGGAAGAATGGAAAGGCACACACTGCAAAATGCTTGAAGTCCAGTGTGAAGTTTCCACAGTCTGTGTTGATTTGGGGAGCCATGTCATCTGCTGGTGTTGGTCCACTGTGCTTCATTAAGTCCAGAGTCAATGCAGCCATCTACCAAGAGATTTTGGAGCACTTCATACTTCCTTCCGCAGACGAGCTTTATGGGGATGCTGACTTCATTTTCTAGCAGGACTTGGCACACACTGCCCACACTGCCAAAAGCACCAAAACCTGGTTCAATGACCATGGGATTACTGTGCTTGATTGGCCAGAAAACTTGCCTGACCTGAACCCCATGGAGAATCTATGGGGCATTGCCAAGAGAAAGATGAGAGACATGAGACCAAACAATGCAGAAGAGCTGCAGGCCACTATTGAAGCATCCTGGTCTTCCATAACACCTCAGCAGTGCCACAGGCTGATAGCTTCCATGCCATGCCACATTGAGGCAGTAATTGCTGCAAAAGGGGCCCAAACCAAGTACTGAGTACATATGCATGCTTATATTTTTCAGAGGTCTGATATTGTTCTATGTACAATCCTTGTTTTACTGATTGCATGTAATATTCTAATTTTCTGAGATTGTGGATTTGGGGTTTTCATGAGCTGTAAGCCATAATCATCTCAATTATGACAAATCACAGCTTGAACTATCTTGCTTTGCATGTAATGAGTCTATCTCATATATTAGTTTCACCTTTTAAGGTGCATTACTAAAATAAATGAACTTTTGCACAATATTCTAATTTTTTGAGTTTCACCTGTATATGCTCCATAAGAGTTTGAATGAGTACAAGTGCAAGGCTACGACCCTATCTTTCACTTGATTGAGATGCTTGACCCATGATTATTAAATATATTAATATAAAGGCAGGCACTTCCGAACCATATTGGAACCAGCATGTCTGCATTCAAGACACTTAAGCTTTCCATATAACTTTGCCACACTTCACAGTCTCTGCTCCCCATGTGGGCAAGTAGAAGTGAGTGAAGGAAGAAAGGTCAGCAACTAAATTTCTTTTCCTTTTCTTTTCAATTAGTGTGCACAGAAGGGGGAAATGATTTCTGAAATGAAGCAGATGTGTCAGGAAGATTTAATTTCTTCCAACCTGCACCCACTGTGGTCCTACTCCCAGGTTTGGACCCTTCACCTCAATAATGAAAGAAAATCAAAGAGTCAACTATATTCTACATACAGAAAGAAACTTTAATTGGATTGGAAATTACTATTGGGTCAGGGACTACATTTATCACTGAGTTTATAAGAAAGGATTTTAGTTTAGTTCTGGCATTAGAAACCATACCAAGCTGAGCATGAACTTACAAATACTGCTAAAAAAACCAGGAGTGTTGCATTTCAACATCACTAACTTGATCAACTACCCTGAGATTTCATGTCATGGAAATTTAATTAATTTTATTCGATTGATTTGAGTTAAACATTGCCTGACTCTGAACCCACACTGGACAGTGTACATTAGTAAGTAAGATAAAGGTAAAGGTTCCTCTCGCACATATGTGCTAGTCGTTTTCAGCTCTAGGGAACTGTGCTCATCTCTGTTACAAAGCCAAAGAGCCAGCACTGTCCAAAGATGTCTCTGTGGTCATGTGGCCAGCATGACTAAATGCCGAAGGTGCACGGAACACTGTTCCCTTCCCACCAAAGGGGTCCCTATTTTTCTACTTGCATTTTTACATGCTTTCAAACTGCTAGGTTGGCAGAAGCTGGGACAAGTAACGGGAGCTCACTCTGTTACGCGGTGCTCGAACCACTGAACCATTCGAACCACTGAACTGTCAACCTTTCTGATTGACAAGCTCAGCATCTTAGCCACTGAGCCACCACGTCCCTTCTACATTAGTAAGTAGATTAGTAAAATTAAGTAAGATAATTATAAAAGGAGTAAGAAGAAAGGAAAAAACAAGAACCAAAAGCAAATACAGCTAACTACACTTTCACCATCAAATAATCTGACCTAGGCCCAACCATCCTACCTCAGCCTGGGAAAACAGCTAAGTCTTTAGGGCTTTTTGGAATGTCAGTAGGGTGGGAACCATTTGGATAGGGGGTGAGACCTCATTCCAGAGGACAAACACCATGACAGAGGAGGCATGTCTCTTCAGTCTGCTAAATCACACTGTTTAATTGAAGGGACCCAGAATGTGCCAATTCTGTTGCATTAAAATAGATGTTGGGAATGAAGAGACATCTTAATTGCACTGGTACAGAGAAAGAATGCTGAAGTGCCAGGATTCCAGAAATATTAGAGCTATTTGCCCATTTCACTCAGTGTATAATTTCTATCTTATAAGTCATTTTGGGTACCAAAAAAAAAGAGAGAAAAGAATTTGCATCTGATCTCTAGATGCCTCTAATTGTATGGCTATTCTATTTTCTTTGATTGTCTGGGGGGAATATTTCCTTCTGTCAATCACCCCCTTTTTGCTACAAAAAAAGTTGATATCAAGATAGCATTTATACTTTACTTTTGCCATGGTGCTGAGTGGCATAAAGATAACTGCACTTTACAACTCTCTCATGTAACTTCTTATTCTAATTTAGATAGATTTCACATTAAACACAAGAAAACAGAAAACCGAACAAAACCAATCAGAATGATTTACAAGTGGTAAACTGAAAAAGGAGATTAGTGTTCCCCCCACCCAACACTTAGACAAGGTAATATCAATTTGGAATGTAATTTGGTGTCATACTTCCATACCAGGAAGGAGGACAAATTTGCAAATCTGTGCATAAAGTTCAAACACAGTCTGAGAATAATTTCAATATTCATATGAAAGCAAGCAAATCTCTTTAAATCCCAGCCAGGAGATAATTCAGAACATATCGTTCCTCATTCCTCAAATGGCTCCTCATTATCCTAAGTATTTCTTTTGGCACTTTATGATGTTTTCCCATATGTAAAGAGGCAGCTGATACAAAAGGAGATCATGAATCATTCATAGACACACCCTTTTATATCATATGTTGTTGTGGGTGTTATGTTTATTTGTAGGAATTTAGGGGAGATCACATGGGCTTCTTCTAAAGAAAAGGA